ATGTGCCAAATGGACTTGAACAGAAGGTAAAAGCTCAACAGAAGAAGAGCCAGAATACCTGGTTGTGCATAATGGAAGACTTACAATAAAGCTAGTAAATTTGTGTTCTAAGCAGACATATAAGAATTTATGATGGTTTTGGAGTGTTGAAACTTTTGGAGAGGTATTTTTTTTTTATAGCTTCCCTCCCATCTTATAAAGGGGAATCTTTCACAAGAACCTGTTTCTTGACATTTAGACATCCAGACATTTGCTTTCTAAAATAAATCTGGAAGTTATTTCTTCAAGATATATCAAGTGAAAAATTCAGTGCTGCTCTGAATCAAGAGTGGGCTGCCAAAGAAGTCATTCATGAGCCTGATTTTTTATGAAAGCTGTTAGTTTCTTCTTGCTAATGGGCTTCTCTTCTGAGAACAGGATCTTCTACACAGTCTCCAGTGTCACTGTGAAACTCCCCTCAGATTTGTATCTTGAATTTGGCTTCAGATATGGATATGTTTCATACATTTCTGTACATCTAGTTCATTCAGCAATCACTGAAGTGTACTAGATTTCAGGAATGTTCATGGGTACTTCACATTCTCCAAAACAAAGAGTGTTTCACTTCTTTCATAAATGTTAACTTCAATTTCTCTGGCACTTCCAGTTGGAGTCTTCAGTAAGGAGCTTTAGAAACATTAATGAGCTTGGCTGTAAAATGCCCTTATGTAAATATAATTAACCTCATACTGCAGATGGCAAGTTTTATTCACAGAATCTCTCCTTAATTGGAATAGGAAGAGACTCTAGCCTGGCTAACCTCTGTCATTTAACTCTATTTCCTATGAAATTGAGAATTTAAATTGTGACTTATCTCCAGCTCTTGCTGTATACTGTCAGAAAGCAGAGAAAGAAGAGGTTAATGGCTGCCTCACTTTTATGAGACAGGAGAAAAAATGGGATCTGAGGAGGGACATCTGTCTTGTTCCATGTGCACTTAAAAGGTTTTTATTGAGGCATGAAAGGTTGCGTTGTTCCGTGCTTTGTCCTTTTGTCGCTTATCCGTTCACTGATGTGCTGCCAATAATTCAATAAAGGAATTTCTTAAAACGTGTCCTATTAATTTATCTTAAACCTCATGCATGTGGTATGTGGGTAATCAAAAAGCAAGAGAAACAGAGTTGAGGATTCTGTTTTTCTTTTCCCCCTTAAATCCAGAAATAGTATAGCGAGAGCTTAAGGGTCAGACTTGGGAAGCATCCTCGCCAGGCATATGTTATTTACTCTCCACCACACCCTCCCCCTCAAAAATCAAGTAGAGTCCCAAAGAATTGTGCTTGTTAACAATCAAAACATGATTTTCAACTGTGTCTTTTGAACTAGGATAGAGAAAAAGAAATTTTCTAAGATTCTTAAAATTTTACTATTTTATTTTAGTCACATCTGTAGATGCATGAACTTCAGCAAAGTGTCAGAGTAGAAAGCGATTTTTTGATACTAAGGCTGAAGGACAAAGGGAGTGAGACGAGAAGATACTTCACAAGCCCACTCTTCAGTTTGGTACAACAGTTTAAATCATTTCCACACTCCCCAGCCTATGAAGCAAAAGAAGGAAATGTAGTAGAATTAGTTGGTAGTCTCTGGATACTTGGGTATGAATTATCTGAACTTATTTCTGTCCACTGTCTTGTATATATATATTGAACTCTTGGAAAATATGAGGATTTTGTAGATATTGTGTGTGTCTAGGTTTCAGGTGAAGTGCTTAGTCTGTGTATTGACCCAGAGGTTGAAACTTCTGCAGTATAAGCAGTGCTGTAATGAGCATTGGACACCAAAAGGCTCCCGGCCTGGCCAAGGTTTGGCATCACACTTTGTGCTTCATTTCCAATGGCTGAGTTTCCAAAGGGACAATTCCTTAATTAGATGTCGTAGTTTGTTCTACTGCTCTTGCCTTCATATGAGGAAAAGATAGAAACATGAGAAGCTTTTTCAAGCAAAACCAGTTGTTCCATTTGAGGCTGGGTCTTACTGTACCACTACGTACTATGGGGTGTTTTGACTTGTATAGCAGGGAGTAGTATTGCACACTTCCTAGATGAGAAACAGTAAAATTTTTGAAATTTAGGGAAATATTTCATTGTTTCTGGAGACTGTTGAAAATTCAGCTTTGGCAGGCAAAGGAAACTGGAAACTATTCCTAGTTTAGGACTGGACTATGGCTTACTCAAATTCTTTTGTTTTACTTTATCTATGCCTTGTTTTAAGCAAAATAAAATATGGTCCCATTTTGGTATCTTTTAGTGTATACTTTTGGGGGTTTGATTCTGTGAAAGCTCACACTGAGAAGTAGAGTTTTGCCCAGAAACTGTGTCATTGTGGGTAAGAAAACCACACAGTGGTGTCAGACCCTCAGGACCTAAGAAGTATTTAAGACCAATTTGCCCCATTATGAGTGTCCATCCAGTGCAGTTCTGGGAGGGCTTTCTATCCATAGCTGTTTACACTGGAATGCTGTTTTTCATGGTTGATGCATCACTGTCAACATCAACGATAGCTTTCTGCACCAGAGCAAGTTGTGTGAATGAAAAAGAGGGAGAGGTGCAAGGAATTGCTGCCTTTCCAATAGACTCGTGTGGTCAGTATCATACAGATGTTTCACAGCTTGCAGTTTGAGCAACTTTACTATCCTTGTATTTAGGCTGTTGTATGATGTGATAAAAATAGTAGTACTGCTGACAAATCATAGAAATGTCCCCACACGTGTCGAGAAATATATGTTATTTCTAAAATGAGTATTATTCGTACATTTTCTGTCTTACAGGTTGTATGGTACTCCACAAATGCAGAATATGTAATTTGATTATTTCCAGTTTCTTATTCAGTTCCTTTGCATTTTTTAATATTAAAAAGTATGGCCGAAGTACAGTCTTTTTTAAGATTTTTACCCCCATTTATTAAAAGGCATAAGTGTATGTTTTCCTGGCTAATATCTATTCCTGTTTGAGTGCATAGGTGAGAAGGAATGGTCTATGTATGTATTTTTCTAAAACAATCTCATGTCTCCTAAGGAAGGGAGTATTTGATTTTGGACTGTGTTAATGCATCTAATCAGTTTCTGAAGAAACTTTCGTGCTTTTTAGGAAATGTTCACATTCAGTTAGTGGCTCTTTATTTCTCATGTTTGCTCTGTGGTGTTCTTGGTAATAGCATTTGTGGATATGAGTTTGGATCACCTAAAATTCTCCAAAGCTATTTAGCTATTCCTTTTATGACCATGGCATGGTGTGTATGTTCTGAATATCTCAAGTCCTTTCCCGTTATGCAGTTGGCTGAAGTACCTCTTTCAAGCTCTGCCATCTTGCACTTTCAGGGAATCTGCTGACAGCAATAGAAATATGCTGCAGTGGCTATGGAAATTTATATTTGGCAATAGATGGAGAAGTTATGATTGCAATTAAGACTGTCATTGAGATAAGACACCTCGTTAGCTTAATTGCTATCAGGTTCCTTTGGAGTGAGTGTCACTTCCTGTTAACACTCAGCACTGTCTGAATCGAATAATGATCACAGAACGATAGAAGGGTTTGGGTTGGAAGGGACCTTTAAACATTCTCTAATTCCAATACCTCTGCCATGGTCCATAGAATCATAGAATTGCTATGGTTGGAAAAGACCTTAAAGATCATCAAGTCCAACCATGACCATCTCTAGTTAATTCCCTGCAAATACAAATAACTGAGTTAACAAAAATTATGCAAGCTTTGGCAATTCATTGATTAGTGAATTCAAGTGTATTGGATGCCTCAAGTGGACTTACATAGGTTAGTATAGCATTGAAGAGTCGGGTTACCTGTGCACAGGAAATAAGCGGAGGTACTGGCAGGTAGCCTAATTTCCTGAGTTTTGCCAGTAGCATGAGATGATTTTAAGTCCACTATCTCATTGGTAGCTTCTGAGAGCACTGAGAGCTCCTGAGAGCTCAGTCTTTACAGTGAACCTGTGAATCAGAAAGAGGCAGTGGGAAAGAAATGTGATTAGAGCACTTTTAGTAATTTTTCTGGTTCCTCATAAAATACAGTAGCTAGTGTAGTACTCCATGAGGCATCACAGTTAATTGACCTCAAATATATAAGATATGGATGAACTTCTAGACTATCTTCTAGCTGTAGTAAAATAACAGCTAAACTAAAGCAAGCTTAATTGGAAAATGAGTTAGCTACAGGGTGATCTCAAATAATTTTCTTGATGTGCCTCACAGAGATATCTTCTTGTTATTGTGATGATATCACCTCCTTATTGTGGTGATAAAGATAGGCACAAGAAATGAAATAAAATGCAGGGGTCTGGTTCTAGCAAACTTTTTACAGGAGGAAGGAAGCTATGCCTTGGATATCTGTTTTTCCCAGACAGAGAAAGGCTGAAATGAGTTTTCGTAACAGAGACAAAATGCTGACTGGCCATCAGAAGTATGAAATCATGGGGTGTTTAAAACCTTTTAGGTAAGCCAATGAAAATGAACGGTAATGATAAACAATCTAGGATCCCAAGGGACTCCTTCCTGTGCTGTGTTGGCTTTCCTAAAGAAAGGTCAACAAAAATAGTTATGTGCTAGCACTGTGTTATTTTACAAAGGCAAATAAATTTTTTTTTCTATTTCCTGAAGTAAAATATAAATATCTTATGCATTTCAAAGCTCTTTTGGTTACCTTAATGTGAAACCTAAAAAAAGATTACGGTTTACTCTTTCCATATGGATGGAAATCCATTGACATTATTGACATTTGTAATGATGGGATTAATTTATCCCATTAATTTTAATGCAAACAGGGTTAGGTCTGAGACTAAGTAATGTAGATTAGCATGACAGATGCAAAAAACTTGTTCACAGAACTGCAAAGATTTAGTGAATGAAATTCCTCTCTCACTCCATCTGCAACCCAGGGGCACTACTGGATGAGGAGGGGGTCAGCTAGTGAGCTTTAGCTGATTACACTCACTGCTTTTTTTTCTGTCTTCAGATATCTCAGCTTATGACAGAGACTAGTCGAGAGGGCCTGACTGAAGCAGCATTGAACCGCTACAATGCAGATAAACCCTCCTTGTACAGCTTCCCTGCTTCCCAGAGCACATATGTTGCTGCTGATGTATCCACAGGCACCTCGGTGGCAGCATCTTTTTTTGCCAGGTAAGAAAGATCTCTCAGATTTTACTTCTCTGGAAATATAATTTCTTTCAAAGGAAATTCTGTAGTGAAGAGATGGGGTTGACTAACTACAGCGCATGTGTCAAGAGGTGTATCTAGAAATACAACTCTATACAGTCTTGCTGAATTACCATGAAAATGTTTAATGCACTTATGTGCATTTGTCTCTAAGATGGGGATGATGCTTCTACTCTTTTATTTAAAATAACACTTAAACTCTTGATTTGGGTTAAAATGTGATTGCATTTGCAGAACAGTCCCAGATTTAGTGTGATTTTTTTGTGGAGATTCTCTGAAAGAGAAGGGTGCATCAGAGTTAGTTTTTGAGATAGGCAATAAATTATATTGCTGTCTGGAGGGGAATAGTTCTCTTTGGTAGACAACCTTCTGATTTCTGTAGTGAATTTTACTTCCATCTAGGCAAATTATCAAGACTTATACCTACAGATGGATCATTTAATGTTTTTATGTCATGTTTCTGTTTCTGCCATGCTTTTGAATTGACCTGACAGTCTAAACTCAGCCTCAGAATACCCTTTCTGTTGAGTACTGAGCCAGTGTTTCCAATTGAGGAATATTATGATTATCTCTATTAATTTGTTGGTAAAATGATTTGGTAAATAGGCATTACAGGTAATAAGTAATAAGTAATTCTCACAAGTGATTTTGAACATTCAGTACTAAAGTGTATGAAGGCTAAATTAACTCTGTTCTCCATACCTTATGTTGGAACAGTGGTAATTCCTTCAGTTTAGTGGTTACCAGTGTGATTTCCTGCTGATTTCAATAAATTTCAAAGGGGGAAGATGACTAAGGATGGGTTTGGCCTTCTAATTTCTAAGAGCTTTTGAGTGCTAGTCTATTTGCAATGTCTACATCTGCTCCCTGTTGATTTTAGGAAAACTTAGAAGAAAATGAGGCTATTTCCTTTTCTCACAACTTCTCAGCACTGCCTTTTGCTGCACATGACATGAACATTGAGAATAATTGCGTGTAGCATATGCAGTAATCCTGCAGCACCTGTTACCAAAGACCCCTGGTGTTTAATCTTGGCTTTTGCTTTTAGGGCATTGGAAATAAAAATGGACAGCATTAATCTTCTGACTTCTAGCGTAGTTGTGACTGCCAACTATAGTAGATGCAGCTTCATTTTGATTTACTGTTTTGCATATTTCTTGCTTCCCTTAAACCTTGATGTAGGAGATCTGATTTATGGTGTCTCTGTCTTGGTTTGGAGAGAGAGAAAGACGAATGGATGTGGTTGCACTGTCTATGGAAGAAAATTATGGGCAGCGCCAGTTATTTTCTCTCTGTTTTTAACACCACGAGACTAACCTTCTCTCAAAGAGATCATAAATCCATAGTAACAAGACTTTTTCCTAAACACCTGGAAGTTCAGAGCAGCAAACTTTTTATTCTACTTACTGATTTCCTGTTTCAAGAAGTACTGTTACGGTTCTGTCCAAGTAGCCTTGAAACTCCAGCTGTGATATACCCTGTCTGCAGAGTTATTCACTCAGCTGCTCAAAGATTCAGTTGAAATGTTGATGTAGTCTGCCTCTTCTATTCAGTTGCCTATTTTCAGGAGATGAATAAATATTCAGTTTCTTTAAAATCTCTGTTTTTCTGGTTAAATTTCTTCCATGGATATAAATGTCCATTTAGGGTATAGACAAAGAAATTCACTTAGATTGTGTATTAATCATCCTCATTTCAGTAACCAGACTAAAGACTGGTATTGGTAACTAGAAAGACAATTGTTTGTTTTGCTGTCTCAGCAGTTATGAGAGAAAGACCAAGTTACTCTATTGTGCTAGTTACATCAATAGTCTCTTTGAATTTAATAAAGAATGACAATTAAGTGAAAACTGTAGAAATCTGGACAAAGAGAGAAAAAAACAGTAGAAATTACTTCCGTTTCTTGTCAGAATATCTCTTTGTATGCAAATACAGGGTAAAATCAGACATCATTTCATTTCATCATTTCAGAAAGGAAAAAGTACATAGAAATCAGCATTGTGTCTTTTGTTCAGGCTATCCGTAAGCAAGCTGAGTTTCTAATCTGCCCAGGACAGAGCATATCAACACTGTACAAAATTTCAAAGTTGCCTACTTCTGCTTTTTTTTTTTTTTTTTTATTACTGAAGTGGAAACTATAAATCTAAGCTTTTTCATTTCAAGAGCTGTTTCATTTCCAGTTCTTCTCTGTTACCATGCTTTTGCCTTTCTGTGGCAACATTGACCTTTTATTATGACAGAACTACTTTAATTCATCGATGTGATCTTGCTTGAGTTATGTCCAACTGTGTGTGGGACAGCACTGTCAGGAGATTCCTAAGAGCACAATGACCTTTGGTTTAGGACAGTTAATTAGCTTTGGACTTAAGATTTGAATCTTGCTTATTTTGAGTCATCTTGGGTGTCTCCACAGAATACTGCATAGTAGAGAATGCAAGTAGGTGAGAATACCTGTAATGGGATATGATAACAAAAATAAATGAATAAATAAATGACAATGAGTTTAGGATTATGGAAAGTACATGTTGATCATACTGTTTTGAAATGTTTCTCTTGAGGTTACTACAGTGTTAGTTAATAAAGCACAACTGGTACAATGCATGTGGATTTCACTGAGCTGTTTGGATTAATACTCTATGGACTCTTAATTAAAGTAAGCAAACAAAATTTGGAATGCATTTAAAGACAAAACTAGATGAAATTAATTACTATGTTAAATTACTCGTGCTGGGATTTTCTAGAGATAGAGGATGTCACAGGACATTAACTGGAAAAATATTTCACATTTCAGGTGATGCTCAAATTGTGGTGTTGGGAAGATTGTTATCCGGGCAGTGTTATATACCTCTGTCAAATATAATACCATAAATTCAGGAATAGAGAATATAGACCACGCTTACAGATTAGGGGTCTGTGTACTGAGAAGCACTTACTGGAAAGGATCTGTATGTTGTGGTTAATTAGTTGCATTATGAGTGCATAAAGGTCCACTGTGGCCAAGAAGGCTAATGTATCTGTTCAATATCTGCAAGAATAAGAAGATATGAAAAGAGATTGGGACGTTACTTTAACTCTGCTTTTGGAATAGATATTCTAGCACTGCTAGGATATTCTCTCTAATTCTGATGTGTACAGCTCAAGAAAGATGCTGAAAAAATGAAGAGGCTTTAGAAGAGACACTGAAATTGTTTGAAATTTGGAAAATATGCCTTCCAGCAGCTTGACTTCTTTAGTTTATCAAACAGATTTAGGGAGAGATGTTTGCAGTGCACAGGAAACCCCAGAATGGAACAGAAATATGATACTAAAGGACTTGAGTCTAGCAGACAAAAGCTTGTCAAGTTGTAATAGCAGGAAGTTGAATCTAGACAAACTTAGTGTTGTAATGAGATGTGCATAGTTAAGAAAGGGCAATGACCCATTGAAACGAACAAGAGTAGCAGTGCATTTGCTTTTAGTGTGTGCTTTTTCAATTAAAAAAGATATTTGAACAAGAAAAAAAAGACTGTTGTTAGCCACAGTCTGTGGTTTTTAAGAGATTCAATATAGGAAAGATCCATTGCTTTTTCTATGCAGGAAGTTACATTAAAGAATCATAATAACCTCATTTAACAATCTGGGAAGGCATATTCATTTGTGTTCAAGTTACAACACCAAAGAGTACTATTTCTGTTCCTCTATCAGCCAAAAATGCTGTAATGAAACTAAAGATAAAATTGCCATGAAGAAAGAAGTATTCTTTTTTTTTTTTTTTTTTAATTTAGATAGGAATGATTAGCAAATAGGTTATGTCAGATTTTTTTTTTCTTTTTTGTAATTGAACTTCAGAGAGCTTTTTACGTTTTTTAGCTATCAGTGTGTAGAATTTTCATTTTTGCCTTATATGCAAGAAGATGTGGGAATCTGTTTTCTTTCATAGCTTCCCTGGGTAAACATCTGGCTTAGAAATGCATTGTTTTCCTCATCCTGCCATCTCTTGTCTGTTTCAGAAAGTGTATCATTGTATATCTTAAAACAAAAAACCTCAAAAACAAAACAAAAAAACTCTAAGAAGTTATTAATTCTTTGCTTTTTTCTTTGCATTTGGATTAAGGATACTAGTCAGCAAAGATGATGGGTGTTTATCACTGACGCAAGCATATTAATCTAAATCATGTGTGTGAGAAAAGAACATCTTAATATTTTCACATCAAAATTATGATGAGAAGTTAGCAGCCAAAGCTGAAATAAAAAACGTACTGTATCTGAAGTCAAAGACTTTGGGGTAAATGTATGTACTTGAAAATTACTGGGATGAAACCAATGTTTAAAAAAAAAAAAAAAAAGCAATACAAATCCAGCTGTTTTACTTGATGGATCATAAAATCTGAATAAGGTCCTTCAAGGGCTTTTTTTTTTTTTATAGTGAGAGACTTTTTTTTTGTATAGTTACAGCAGCATCTGTTTCCCATCTCTGGGAATTCAGAGAATCCACAGGCACCGACATGCTGTCTGCTGCAGAGAAGCTCTGCAAGCTTTGAGACAAGTGCTCGATATGTAATATAATTGTCTGCAAGCTGGAAAGATGTCATTGTTTTCAGGGAAGAGGTGAAATCTAAATCAGTGACATAAGCAATAAGAGCAGACCTTGCATAAAACTTCCTTTGTTCAGTCCCCTCTGTAAGGAGGGGAATGCTAAGCTAGCAACACCTGAGTCAGTAAGATTAATCAGCTGGAGAAGGAAAGCAAGGCATAGCAAGAGGACTGGATGGCTTTTTACTGGGGCTATATCCTTCATGGAGGGTTCAAACAGTGGAATGGATAGAATAATTGTAAACAGATTTGAGCCTGAAATGTAAGTGCCCTTTTATGAATAACGACACTGGATTTAGTTAATGTTGAATGATGAATTTCTCTTCATTTCTGGTTTATCACATTTTTCATTCTAATGCCTTACCCTTTCTATAAACAGAATTTATGTATAA